AATCATCGTGAAGGTCAAGGGCCTCAAACCAGCCTGGAGGGTTAGGAGTCAGGATTAATCTCTCCAGAGAAAACCTTGCAGAATTGGATTTTCCTTATGTAATTGCTCAGTTGATCCAATTTCTAGAATTGGGTGCAGACCGCCATTCCTTCTTGAGAAGAGGAAACAACACTTCTACGATTCTAGTTTAACTGGGCCAAGAGCTCGTCACGAAGTTCCTCATGAGAAGGCTCCCTGAAAAGGGAAGGGGGCTTGAGCTCTCTCATTGTCATGAATGGGAAGAAGTACCCCCATGCAGTGAGCTCTAGGACCTAGCAGTCCAAAGAAATTACTCAGATGCCTTTAAAAATAAAAAAGGGAGTTGTTCCCAAGGGGTGAGGTAAAAGAGGAAGAAGTTGAGGATCTGGGTCCTCCAAAATTGCTTTGAGGTCCTCTGGGGCATACTCTCCCTTGCTGAACTAGATGCAGCACCAGCTCTGGCTGAGGTGGAAGGTATTTTCCTCCTCTGATGGTTTCTTTTTTTAAATTTCACTTAAAAAAAAAAAAAAAAAAAAAGACTGTCTAGTCCTATTGCTGGTAGCCTGATTCCAGGAAGGACTGTTGAAATTGTCCCTTGTGAAATCTAAACTATTTCCTGCAAATAAAAGCTGACTCAAGTCCAGACACCTCTCCATTGACTTTGTGACCTTAATCCTTTCCAGAACCTCTGTCCCAGAGTGGAAAAGGTTGGTTTCTTTAAAAGGCAGGTCCATGACCTTGGCTTGGTGGAGATGAGAGTTTTGGCGCCAAGAGTGTTTCCTAAGGGACCCAAGCATGTTCAAAGTCCTAGTATAGTGCTGTCTGAGACATCAATGGAAGCTTTGGGAGTATGCTTAGACACCTGGCCTTCCTCAAACAATTCCACACATCTCGGTATCTTCTCCTCATAAAGGGAGCTGGTCAACATTTTTCATTCACAGCATTTTAAAAATAAAAAACAAAAATGGCCTTTCTTTGAAAGGAAAAGCTTTTTTATATTGATTTCTTTTTAATTTTCCAGTTTTTTGTAAAAAAAAAAAAAAAACAAAAAAAACAACCCAAACATTTGAAGTTTTGGGGGGTTGTTTTTACCCTCTCCCTCCATTTCACCCCTTAATTATTGAGCAATGGCTAGTATTTTCCCTACATGCACTTTTTCTTTTGCCAAAGGTCAGAGAAGTTTAAAAAAAAATCATTCATATACTTGTTCTCAGTGGCAACACATTTTTTTATCAAAGATTTGAAATTAAAAACAAAAAAAATTGTGATCAAAATTTAAAGTGGTTCCATGTCAAACCCAGCAACACAAATTTCAAATTTGCTCATTAAATTGTTTTTCCATTTTTCTGCTCATGAATGTGCTGGGCTCAAGATCCTGCCTTTGATTAGGCAGAAAACTTATGTCTGGCAATAGCTACCTTGGCAGCCTTGACAGCTGGAGAGTTCATACATTTTAACATCAGGGAAACCACTGTGATAATCTAGCCTGACTTCCTGCATAACACAGGCCACAGGATTTCACCTAGTAATTCCTGCATCATGCCCATGCCTTCTGGCTGAGTTAGAGCATATCTTTTAGATAGACACCCAATCTTGATTTGAAGATTTAAAGTGATGGAGAATCTTCCACATTCCTAGGCTTGTTGTGTCAGGCTTGCCTAGCAGTTAACCTTCTACCTTAACACATTCAGTTGTTTGAGCACCTTGTCCCCAGAAGTAGATGACAACTTCCCAGCTTTAAATATTTCACTTGCAGCGGAGATCACAATTGAGCTTGGGGTAGGATTCTGGAAGAACAATCCAAATCTTTCCCTGGGAACTGGCAGAAAGATCTAGGAGTCTGACAAATCAAGGAGCAAAGGCCAGATGGTGCCTGCCAAATCCTGGGAGGCTCTGGTGTCACACAGAGGAGGGGAAGGAGTAGTCACGGCAGTCTCATCAGTTGCTAAGGTACCGGGGCACCTTAGAGGATAGTCCTCACCAGTTCCTGCCTCTCAGAGTACCAATGCCCTGTGGATCAGTGGTGCTACTGGATGTGGGGTCAGACAGAGGTCAGGTAGACCCTAAGGAGACTGCCTTCTTTGGAGGAGACTTCCTGGCAGAGGAGTAGATCTAGGTCTCCTCAATTCCTTACACTAAAGATATCACAGATGCAGGAGGACCACAGGGCCAGACACAACGAGGGGTAGAGTACCCCTAAGGAGGAGATCCTGGGTAAGTCTTTAACAGGGCTCTCCAAGATGACAAGGTTCCAAATATGTCAAATGAAAATAAGGCTCCCCATGAGGAGGAACCATAGCTGACTGATACGGAACACTCTTTTCATAGACCTGGATATCATACCATCCTGAACTCAGATCTCATGGGAGCTGAGAGCCCCCAAGACCAAAGGGTGGCACAGGCTTGCCTCAGAACCACAACACCAAGGAGTCATCCACACACGGCCAGAGGAAGAGCATTTTGGAGAGAGCCTCCCCGGAAACAATCCCACAGGGAGAAGAAGCTGGGGCTTGGCACTGAGAATGGTGACATCCCTCACACCAGAGCTCTGAGGGTGTGTATTTCTGTTGGAGTGGCCAGATGAATCAGAAGGATGCTCCAAAGCAGAGGATCAATCCAATCGACCCAGATCTAAGAGGCCCTTCCTTGTGGGAAACTCTTATGATCTGAGCAGGCCAATTACATCGGGGTAGAGGTCTAGATCTAACTGCAGGATGCTTTCTGGAGCACTCCTCCTTTTTGCCATGAGGGTTACTGAACTGCATGAAGCTCTCCCTCCAGCCCTGTCCAAGGAACCTGGAGCCTTAGCTGGGGGAAACCAATCTGAGCAGTTCCTTGTGGGGCATCTTTTAATTTTGGACATTCCCTTTCTGCGTGTGCGTTTTCTCTTGGCTTCCACTCTAAGGGAGGTTTCAAAGGCACATTACACAGCCCTAGACACTCCTCCACAGAAGGTCTCCTAGAATACTGCGCCTCCAAAGCCTATGGCAGCAAGAAGTTCTGCGGTTTTCTTTTTGGGCCCTTTTAGAAGGGGCCCTTACAAGCCATCACAGCATTTCCCCCAGGCATGAAAGGCACTTTTCGTGCTTTTATGGAGTAGGAAACATAGGACAAGAGGAGCATTATTTAAAGCCAGTCTTTTTGGTAGTGTTCTCTCTCTTGGGCAAACCCTGACAAAACAAGAAATTAGAAAGGAGAAGTGTGCGTTCCTAAAACTAATTATAAAAGTACATTAAAGCTATGTACAAATGCTGTGTGTCTTACATGACTGAAGGGAGAGGTTGGTCCTGTGACACTGTTTGGAAGGCAGAGGGACGGTTACCAGATGCAGGGTATTTGTGCTCTATGGAACTTAAGGCTAAGAGAGGAGTGTGCCCCTGACTTTCAACTACTGATCAAAATGGTTCTGTGACCATTGAACAGACTCATGACTCCTGCAATGGTGCTCTGGAGACATCACCACGGAACATATGGATACAGCACATTTACTTTCTGTGTTAGTCACTTCTTTACGTTTTTTCTGTATTCTAACGTGTATATTGATTCCCAGAGCACTGAACACTTCCCCTTTCTCCCAAGGCTGATTGGAAGCATTAAGCTGCTGCAAGTTACTGTGATGTATATTTTGTTCATCCCAGGATGCACGTATCAATCATTCTACAAGACAAAGCAAAGATACTGGACAGCACCACTTCAAGTAGAAGAATCTAACTTTATAGGTGATAAAGAATTCCTGAAAGCTATTTTGATATGACACAGCCGATTGGGGATGATACTCTCTTCCAACCCATTTTCTTCTCTCCAAACGTTAAGGCATTCACACACCATAAAACCATCTTATGCCCTCCTCTGGGCTGCTGCTGGTGCCCTCTTTCAGAAGAGACACAGATACTGAAGTCCTCATCTGTCATGGTCATTCAACATTTCATGGCATTTTCTGCAAAAGTTAGGGTGCTAATCCCTGTGTCCTGGCAAGATTCCAACATAGATAATTACATTCTGCCTCCCTAAAATCCCCAAGAAGTTCTAATTGGCTATGGTATCCTTCACTTCCTGTCCTAAACGATTGTGCAATGGTTTTGTGCACTGATAATTAAACAGTTACTGTGCTTCACCCCAGAAGCGGTGGCATATCAGCAGTAGAGCAAAACAATCCCTATCTGTAATAACTTGCATTATTTCTTAAGTGTATAAAGTGCTTTAAGGACCCTTCAAGGTGAAAGTGGTAACATTATACAGCACCTTTTACACCACAAAATGCTCACTCTTCCCAGTGCATAAGAGGCTAAGATGGAAGATCTTTATCACTTCAAATTCTACCCCACTTGATTTCCAGCATATGACAGGCACGTGTGCTCGTTGAGGACTGACTGAATTGGAGTTAGAGGAGCCCATCTGGTTTTGAATGATCAGCTGACATAAAACAGCTACAGTAAAATGCAGAACCACCTGGAGCTTTGGGCAGCTTGCTTGCCAGATTTTCTTCCGGCTTCCTAAAAATGTCACTTCTGGCCCAAGACTCAGCAAGAGAAGTTTCAGCCCAAAGGATTTCTTTTTAACAGAAAGTTACAAAGGGGTCAATCATAAGGCTGAGAATCAGAAATGGGCCAAAGCTACACAGTTTGGTTCTGGATCAGATGATCTTCTTAGTCCAGATCTAGGGTTCAAACGGAAGCCAGCTTTCAAACACCTTAACTATGAGTCTATGGGACTCCAAAGCCTCAGAGGCATCTCCGGAGAGATTCAGGGGAGGGGGCAGAGCATGCAGCCTCCCCTCTCTCAGGTTCCATCTACTCCATGAGCAAGCAATGGGCTTCTGTTCAAAATCATTACAGGGCAGGCACATCTGGCCACAACCCTCTGCATGAAAATTCCAGCCACCCAAACCTTTTGCTGACCTGTGGTTTACCTGATCACCAGGAAGCACTGCTTCCTGCCCAGCAGAGAGAGAGCCCTGATCCAACTTCATCCATCAGACTTACCTTCCCAAACTGCTCAAAATACTGTTTCACATCCTCCACGGTAGTGTTCACAGAGAGACCCCCCACAAATATCTTCTTCGTCCGCGTTACCATCTGGGAAAGGGGAGGACAGGGATTCATGGGAGAAACAGAGTTAGCAGAGAACAAGATCTGTCTCCAAAACCTCCTCTTTTATAAGCTGAAGAACATGCTGTGCACTGTATTCCACTGGGAGATTGCCCGCAGCAAAGGAGCAGAGAGTCCCCCAACAAAACACTGTATCTAATGGAGGACGTTTCAGGCCTCAGAAATGTCATACTGTGAAACTCCATCACTCAAGTGCAATCTCAGAACTGCTCAAACATGCACCATATTGCTGTAGGGTGACCAGATGTCCCGATTTTATAGGAACAGTCCCGATTTTTTGGTCTTTTTCTTATATAGGCTCCTATTACCCCCCACCTCCATCCCGATTTTTCACATTTGCTGTCTGGTCACCCTATATTGCTGTCTCCTTCCCTCCCTAACCCCCAGCATGCACAAGCTCACCACCTGCCCGTGGGACTTGCCAGGGCACTGCCACTAATCTCTCATCTAACCCCCTGGGGACGGGTACAGCATGTTAAAGTCTTTCCCCCACTAATCGTTCAGTCACCCACTTTCACAAACCTCCTCGCAGACACACAGAGTGCTGCCATCTCCTTCCCCACCCTCCCGTCACTCACACAGGGCACTGCTGTCACCCGGCCAATCCCCAGCTCACCCTCCCTCCCTGCAGTGAAATGGGAAAGCAGAGCATGGCTGCGATGTGAGGTGGAGATCTCCATGGCCCACGGGTCTGCAAATTGTGCAGTGTCCAGTCCTACAGGGAACAAGCGCCGCTCCACTCCCAAGCCACCAGGTTTAAGGAGCCAGAGGAAACTCCCAGTTAAGCCTTCTTGTGCATTTGGGAGGAGGCAAAGGAAGAAACCCTGCCCTTTCCTCTCCCCCCAGCCACAGGAGACTGAGGAGGAATAACCGAGGGGGGCGATGGCTGCTAGGATGATGCACACTGGTGTCCTTTGAACTGACGCTCCAGCTGCATCCTCCCCTCAGCCCCTTGGCCACACCCCTGCTCTAGCAGGAACACATGGTCCTAATAACCCCAAGGAGCACAGGGCTAATCCGCAGCAATTCCATGGCTTGGAGAGCAGCCTGTTCTAACACTAAAGCACCTTCTGTCACCAAACTGCTTAATGGAATTAACCCAATTCCTACCATGTGCTTCCTGGCTCGTTACTCAGGATACCTGCTCACTAATTGTTCTCAGCTCCTGATCCCCTGTGCTTTCCTCCCCACATCAGTCTCTTCTTCCACTCTGCAATTCTCTCCTCAGCAACCCTTTCTCCCGCTGCAGTACTTGGGGTAAGATTGTAGGCTCTCGTCCCCCAGCCCAGTTAAGTGAGACCCCCAAATCTGTATTGCACTTGAAGGCAAGTTGCCAATTTGCTCTTCACTCTGCAGTTAAAAGTTTCCCATTGAGCATCTGGTAGAACCCCCACAGCTGCTCGCTTCCACCAAGCGCCCATCTTCCTGGTGCACGTCAAGCCCAACGTCCTTCTCTCTCTGGCCTTACTAGTGCTGGTGTGCACCTTGCCATTCCACAAAATGAAGTTCTTTCTGCCACACCTCTCCCCAAGTCATCCTACACGTCTCCTGCCAGGGATTGGAACTACTTCATGTTTCTTGCAGGCCCTCAGGTTCCAGATACAGGCTACCAAAGAGCAGAAGGTGCTACGTTCTTGAGCAGAGTTCTGCATTTCATCAGCTCCACTCACGAAGCATGCTGTAACCGCAGTGGAGTGGAGCTTGGGCTGTTCCAACCCCACACTGGCAATCACAAGAGCATCACAAAGCTCCATAGTGAGCTAGATCAGGCACAACGGAATGCAAGTCTAGAGGTGGAGCACCAAAGGTCATCCTTAAAGTAGGAACTAAGCCTGAGTATCAAGCATCAAAGCCTTAAGGACCAGTGCTGGCAGGTACACCAAGATGCCCTTCCAGCATCCTCTGGACAAAAGCACAAAGAGGATTTAAGTTTATTGAGTTGCACCTTTTCAATTTGTAAAAGCTGCACATGCTACCTACCTTGGGCTGTGCTCGGCGGGGGAATGCTACTTTTGGGTCGATCTGAAAGAGACATGGGAGAGAGAAAGCAGGTGAACACACTTTAATTGCCTACATTTCATTTATTAATATAAGCTCTCCACAAACTTTGCCCAACTGATAGCTTGCCAGTCGCAAGAAAAACACCTAATGAGCATAAAGTAGACTGCAGACAATTTTATCTTCTGATAGAAGTGTGATCCCTGGAGACTACAGTTCCCAGCATGCAATGTTCCATCTGAATGTGAGCAGCAGCAGTTCAGCACAAGATGGAACACCACAGGCTGGGATTAGCAGTCTGTTAGCCAGTCCTCTGCATTCACACTCTACCTTGGCCACCCTGCACCAGCAATGTCATATTAAAGTGCTCTTTATTCTCCCCTTCACTCTGGCTAAGTGTGCAGAGCTCACCTGGTTAATAGTGGATCCGGAAACGGTCAGCACATAAAAAGCTAAGAACTTCATCCCCAAAAGCATGGATTCACATGAGAAAGAAAGATGTGAATTAAATAGAAGAGTCCCAAGGACAGAAAGTTGCAATACGGACTGATACAGACTCTTGTCATCAAATCACACAGTATAGTACTGCCCCTTCTGCAGGTTATATGCTTTACAATAAAAACAATCAGTTCCAATCATCCCACTGTGCTAGATGCGCCTATTTGTTTGGTTTATTAATAAACCTGCTGTCCACTGGCGTGCCTGTATCTCAGCACCAATATCCAGGTGGTGCACATTCTGCTGAGGTCAGCAATGGATGAACACATGGCTGCACTATTATTAACACCACCACAACTTAAACTAGGAAAATACTAATGCACTGAAAACCAAACACCCACTATAATACACACAAACACACACACACACACACAGAGCAACTCTTGTGATGTCACCTTTACATTAGAAATGATCCAAATCTACAAATCAGCTTAGAGAGCCCTGTGCTAAAGGAGGGTCTTTCAGCCCACAGTTGGAAAGGCTGTAGCTGGGAGAGGAGCTGAGAAGTTTGTCCCATTAGCCCAGCAGCTCAAACAGCCCGCAAGGAAACGGCAGCTCTCCAGCTCCTCTCACTGCTATTGTTCTACTTTCCAGCCTGGCTTTTCTCCCTTCGTTCATCCTTTCATTTGTCATGCAGAACCCAAAGCTCAGTACCTCTTCAGATCACTCCCCTCTGCCTTCCCACCTCCATCCTGATTCACAACCTAGAACATAAATAAACTCAGCGTGTAAGTAAACAGAGGCAAAAGTGAAGAACATAAATAAACCTCCCCTTATGACTGCCAAACACAGAGAGCAACATACCCTCTTGGTGCCTCATAGGGACATCTGAGCACCTTTCCCTTCTCCTCCCCCTTCCTCCCACTCCAATCCTCTGGCTTCCTGGCTAGTGCAGAAATCCTCAGTGAATTCTGAGGACAGAGGCCGGCAGGAGACCAAGAGGCTGATGGCAGATAATAAGCAAAAACAATAATCTACTGTCTTTTAGTTCTCAGCCAGTGTCATTCAGCTCCTGCCAAGAAGATGCTTTCATACACAGCAAAGTTAAGCCCAGGCCTCATTTTTTCATTACCCTGAGAGCGATAAACTGGGTAGAGATAACATATCCACCTGGCTAGAGGGGGCAGGCAGTAATTTCACAAATTCTTCTGCACAACTAGCTATTGTTGCTGGTAAACCGAGGCCTGACCAACCAACTGCAGACGCGCAACTGAAGGTGCACAGAAGAGAGAGCGTTCAATACAAGACTCAAGGTCTATTGAGGGGACTATTCCTTAAGTGCAGGAATTTTCATAATTAAAGGAGAAGTGGTGGTAATCTCTTCCTGTATCCCTGGTATTAAAGCCAATAATCTGGTAGAGTTTTACTTCAGTGTCAGTTATGGATGTGATAAAGATTTGTACACAAGGAATTCAGAGTTCCTCAGATAATGTCCTAAAAAATTTAACCAGTATCAGACAGTGGTTAGGGGTGTTATTTAAGTACTTGTCACTTCATTTCAAGTTACTAACCTTTAGGGACAAATTGTGCCCATGGTTATATCCATGGAATCCCACTGACCTCACAAGTGTAAACGAGGGCACAACTGGGCCCTTCATTACCACTTTTCAGGCCACGTAACACTGTTTAATTCCCATGGAAGCTCATATAACTACATTTAACTTGCTGACATCATTATCCATTAGCTGGGATCTGAAGTGATTCAAAAAAGCACACTTGTCATCTCTCTAGTGCCAGTTTTGTTACATTTGTTAATAGTGAATCTGAAAATGCCTCCAGCGCCCCTTCCACACACACCAATAAAAACAGCAAAGGCAAGAAAACCTCAAGCACATCCCTGTTTCTAGGGCACACACAGAAACTGAAGGCAGCAGTTTGCTGCAGCTTTCCAAAGGCACGCAAATCTTTTACCTTGAGACGGCAAAGCCAACTCTCCTATCAAGCATTTCCATAAATAACCCCTGGAGACTGCGATCTAGCTTACAAACAAGGAGAAGTCTGAAAGGCACAAGGTTTCCTCCAGAGAATCAGGCCAACAACATTAATTACAATAGGAAGAATCAGAAAACAATGAAGCAACAAGTTGGGCAGACATTATCTACCAAGTGCTGTTTACCAGGAGACACCAAGCAGGGGGTAGTTTCAGGACACTGGCCTTTTCCCACAAAGTTTTATAAAAGCCTAAGTTAGGATTCAGATGAGTTGGTGACATTTAGTCCATGACAAACAGCAGAGACTTTCAACTAAAGGGGGGGGGGGACAAAAACAAAAAACCCCCACACAGGGCTACAAAATCAGCATGTTTTAGGGGAATTGAGAGCCACTGAACTGCACATATAGATCAGTTTTAGATCCTAATCCAGCAATTACCAGGCAACATACCTCAAAACATTCAGCCCAGATTTAAACTTTAAAAATAATAATAATAATAAAAAAAAATCAAAGAAAAAAAAATCAAAGTTCCTGACAAAGAAAGGACTCTAGAGAAACTGCCACCATTCTTCTTGCTTCCTCAACATACAATCAGCAAGCCAGATGCATCAGAATTTCAACGGCTGGCCAGCCCCACATGTTCTTTACACCACAAGTCCCTTCTCTTCTCCTTTAGCACACTTACCCATTCCCCATCCCCTCCCCTTCCTGGGCCCAGCCAGAGGATTGCAGAATTGCTTTAAGACCAGAAGCAGCATTGGTTTAGACAGGTAAGAATGGAGACCATAGATTGCATCTCACTTCTGTCCCAGAAATACTCTTGGGATTGCTGCCACCATCAACATCCATCACTCACCTTTTCAAGAGTGAGCTAGGCCAGTCCCACAGATTCACCATCAGACCCCACATTTACATGGACTATAAAATAAAACAAGCCTGCCCCCACCCCAAAACATTTCATCATAATTCTCCCCGCAAAGCAAAACTAACTTTGCACCACTCTCACGAGAGGACGAGGTTTTTAAGACTCCTGGCAATCTGCACGCTGCAAAGGCGGCTGGAATAGGTTTAACCAGGAGCTCCCATGGGGAGGAAGGTCCTGTATACATCAAAGGGAACGATCCATGCAGTTAAACAGGAACAGACATAAATCTCACCACAGCTCATGCTGTAAGCCTCAAGAAAGGGGTCTCTCTCTCCCGCTCTCTCTATTCAACTCAGATAAAGAATTTGATGCCTGAACTGCCTCACTAGACTTCAAGTTACACATGTGGACTTTTCATTAGTTCATGGCTGGAACGGGAACTTCTTTTTTTCCTCCATGTGCCCCCACCACTTGTATCGCCACCTCTGGGGCAGTATTAAGAAAGAGGAATTTGACAGCACAAAAGTCACTAAAACTACTCAGACAAAAGATCTCTAACACCCAGTCCCAAAACACAGATCCTACATATCTCCCTGATGCCAAGAGCTTGCAATGCAGGAACTGACAGTCTATGTTAAGAGACCCAATGACTCTACAAAAAACTATCTACAAGTTCACAAAGTGGCTAGAACAGCCTGTAATTACAAGAACTGATGCACCACCCTGGGGGATGGAGGCACCACTGATATCTCAAAAAGCAGAAGATGGCCCACAAAGGCACCTTCTAAGCACACTAGGAGACAATAAACTTCAGGAATTCATGGCCATTGCAAATTTGTATCCTGGGGAAGCCATAAGAGAGCATGAGGCAACAACTCCTCAACACAAAGGGATATGGGTCTATAACAGAGGTTCTCAAACTGGGGGTCATGACCCCTCAAGGAGTTGCAAGGTTTTTACATGGTAGGTTGCAAGCTGTCAGCCTCCACCCCAAAACCTTGCTTCACCTACAGCATTTATAATAGTATTAAATATTTTTAAAAAATGCATTTTTGATTTATATAGGGGGTCGCACTCAGGAGTCACCAATACAAAAGTTTGAGAACCACTGGTCTATAGCATCACCAGAGAGAACAGGCCTAGCTCTTTGTAAGGGTCAACCGCCCATCATGGAGGGGTTACACCTAAGGCAAAATAGAAAGTGACTGGTGCACGCAAGAGACAAGAAAAGCCTACCAAAGGCTGTGGGGTGCTGTATTTCCATAAGGGACTAAGAGAGGGCATCACATGAGAGTGTGAAGCTCTGTATGTCCTCTCCACTTAGGGGGCAGTTGCCCCCATAGACACTGTTAGTTTCACATGGACACACTTTTTCTTGTGCAGTCCTGAATGTATTCAGTCTTTTCAACTCACAAAGTGCCACAATCAGTTTCTCAAAAGGGATCTTGCAATCAGTAGGCAGAATGGAAAAATCATAACCTGAGATTCATAATCAATACTCCAACATTCACAAACCAATCCATACTTGGTCAGCCATAGCTCAGAAGAGCAGCCAGTTAACAAACCATCACCAGGATGCAGAAGGGTGGGATAATTCTTTATCAGTAATCAATAGTTTATAACCCCTCATTGGGAATCAAACACCACAATCAATCAGTGCTCTCAGCACTGAGGCTCAGTTGACAAATGAACCCCCTTAGATGGGAGAAGAAACCTCACCGTCTTGGAGTCCAGTTCATGTCTGGATTGGGCCAGAACCTTGTCCACACCGGCCTGGTCCATGAATGTGACAAACCCGAACCCCCTGAACCCCGAATCCCAGGCGGGAGATGGGGGGGGAAGAAGGAAAAAAAGAGAGAAAGTTGGTTAAAGTCGGCCCGGCTCTGGCGAGGAGCAAAGGAGGAGCAGGGGCCGGTCTTCTCACCTGGATCTCTTTGTCAGCGGGTCCCGCATCACCAGACACTCCTTCACCTCCCCGAACTGGCTGAAGTATTCCCGCAAGCCCTCTGCAACCAGAACACAAGGCCATGGGCCCCTGCCCAGCGCCGGCCCCCGGGGCTCCCTCCCCACCGCGCCGCCCGGCCCACGGAGAAAGCGCCCCAGATCCGGAGCCGACCCCTGGTGGCGAACAGCGACGCGCCCACACACACACACACACGAGTTCGGGGGCGGCCGCGGCTGTCCGCCCCCCCGGGAAGAGGCATCGAGGGAGCCCTACAGAGCGGGGTCCTCCCGGGAATAACAGCCCCGGGCCGAGCCGAGCCGGGCAGAGCCCCGACCCCGCTCCGCCCGGGGAGTTGGGAAAGTTTGGGTGGCAGGTGCCCGGTCCGGAGTTCGGCCGGGGCCCGCGGGGAGCGGTCCCTGCCCGGCGGGCCTCACCTTGCGTGGTTTGCCAGCTCAGTCCCCCGATGAACATTTTGCTGTGGGAGACACAAAAAGAGCCGTGAATGGAGCGGGGCGGGCCGGGGGGCAGCCGGGGGTCCGGGCCGGGCTAGCCGGCGGCGGGAGGGGAGTAGCGCGGAGGCAGCAGGCGGGTCGGGCTGCCCGGCTCCAGCGGGGGACCGGACCCGGCGCGCCGCGGATGCGGGACGAGCTGCCCAGGCTCGGGAGCGGGCACAGGGGGGGGGGACCGAGCGCGGCCCCCGGGGGGGAGGCGGTGCGGGCTGCCCGGTCCCGGGGTCAGCGCGTGGCCTTATGCTCGGCTCGGGGCAGGGGGGCTCGGGTCCGGACTCCGGCGGCAGCCGGCGGCGGCAGGGTGAGCTCGCAGGCATCGGCCATGTTGGCAGCGGCCGCCGCCACCGCCAAGCCTGTCCGGGCCACGAGCTCGTGGGGAGCGGGGGGCTGGCTAGAGCCGGGGGTGGTGGGAGAGGCGCGCTGCCGGCCCCGGCTCCCGCCCCCCGCCGCGCCGGGCGGAGCGGTACCAGGGATCGTGCGGGGAGTCCGGGGAGGCGAGGCCGGGCTGGCTGGCTTCTGTCTCCATTCGGACCTCTTCTCCCTGCGAGGAGCAGAGCCGCACTCCCGGGGCAGATGAGCGCTGGAAAAGGGGCCGGACGGACAGGCCATGCTGCCCCCTCCCCCGACCCCTCTCAGCCAGGCGGGGAGGGAGGGAGGAGGGCCCGGCGGGGACAACCTGCCCGGCTCCTCCCACCCCCGGCGGGCGGGCAGCCGGCGTGCGCATAAAACCCGGCTGCTGCCTGCCTGGCCGCCTGCACCGGGGGGACGGCAGCGAGCGGGGCTCGGGGAGAGCCGCGCCCAGGCCAGGCAACTACAGCGGAGTCGACGCAGCTGGTACAGCCTGGGAGAGGAGCCGGGACGGGACCCCGTGTGCGCTCCCCACCTGGCCCCCTTCTCCAGCCCGGGGGAGGGAGCCAGCCTGTAGCCGGCGCACGGAGGATTCTCACCTGGCTCGCCATGGAGGGGCTGCCGGGGCTCCTGCAGCGTGGTGCGTGCAGCTAGAGACAAAGGGGGCCTGGAGCTGGCCCTGGGGAAGCTCGTGCTGAATCGCTCCTGGCTCTGGCGTGCTACCGTGCGGGTCTCCGCTGCTCTGGGGGACCCGGCAGCGCGTCCTAGAGCGGAGGAGCGGAGCTATTTCTGCCAAGAAAGCCGCGTAACAAGACCCAAAGCGCTGGCTGCAGTTGGGGCTGTTCAAACGTGGGGGCTTAAAACGGGGCTGGAGCGGCCTAACTTTAGGCACTCACGTTTGAAAACATGGTACCGGGCGGCACAAAAGGAAACCGGGCTGTGAAAGCCCCCGAGAGGCTTCTGTGGAGAGCCCTGCAGCTGGAGCCTGGCTGGCTCAGATCTGTGTGTGGGTTCAGCCCAAAACTTGCCTTTGCGCTTCTTTCACTTACCCTGAACGGAGGCCAAATGCCCCAGTGAGCCTGAGTGTGGCAGGAATGTGAGCCATACTCCTCTCCAGTGCTGCCTTGCACACCTGGGACATCACCTCCAGCTTGATCCACCAGGGCACAGAGGAGAAGCTTGGTCTGAGAGGGTTAAATCAAATTGACAACAATAAGAGAGATCCCAGACCTGAAGAAGAGCCCTCTGTAAGCTCAGAAGTTGATCCAATAAAAGATATTCCCTCACCTACCTTGTCTCTTTAATATCATGGGGCCAACACTGCATACAGTAACACATGACACAAACAAAGCCTGAAGCAGGACCTGCATGGTGTGACATGTACCTTATTTAAACAAGACTGCTGACCTCTTCCCCCCCCCAACACACACACACCCCTTCCTTGCTGCTGATGCTTCTGTGGGACTCTTGTATATCCCACAAGTGTTCACTAAACCAGGGGTTCTCAATGTTTTCTTTTCTGAGCCCCCCACCCACACTCCCCTAAGATGCAATTAAAAACTCCATGGCCCACCTCTGCCACAACAACTGTTTTTCTGCATATAAAAGCCAGGGCAAGCGTTAAGGGGGAGCAAGCAGGGCAATTGCCCAGGGCCCTACACGATGGGGGGGGGCCTGGAAAGCTAATTTGTTTAGACTTTGACTTCAGCCTCAGGTGTGGAAGCTCAGGGCCCTGGGCTGCAGTGCCATGTGGTGGGGATTTGGCTTTCTACCCTGGGCCCCAGCAACTGTAATACTGACCTGGCTTGGTGGACCTTCTGAAACCTGCTTGTAGCCCCTCCCCTGCCCCCCCCCCCGGGACACAGGACCCCTGATTGAGAACCTCTGCACTAAATGATACCTTACATTTACTCCTCACAATCCATGGGCAGCATTATCCCCATTTTACAGATAAAGGAATGAGGTACAGATGTGAAGTGACTTTACCAAGGCCACACAGTCAGTCTCCGGCAGAGCTGGAGCATGAACCCAGGAAGTCCTCACGGAGGTCTTTGCACAGTCCCTTGACCACAGTGTCTCCTTAGTATGATTGAGTAGAGAGCTACCCCCCTTTCAATCACCAGAATGGAGACAGACTAGTGTAACTTTCCCCCTCAACATATTTTCTCTATCTAGATTCATGTTCTTGTGCCCAGCACTGTAGTACTTGTATCCTGGTACTTTACTCAACTGTTATCACTATCCAACCAGACTCTGAGTGATCACCTCCCTTTAAAATAGAGACAGCACCTTTACCAGCTCCTATCATTACCATGGGACTGTGATTACAGCAGAATAATATTTTTTATGAGGTACTGTGGGCCAGGACTACAACAGCAGGGGTATGTACTACAATGGATCGTCAGTTCAACTTCTATTGATGGCAGTGAGCGTTGTATAAAAACTGAGGGTAGACTACAACCATAGTTTCCTTTTGCAGCTGCCTTTCTCAGAGGCACTGGAGCCTTGTTTCAGCTGCTGTATAGTGGCCCAAATCACAGTGCAATTTTACATTGGCATGGATTAATAAACTGATCGGACCATAGGCCACCAGCCTGACACTTATGCCATGTTCCAAATCTTCCTCACCAACAAACTAGTCTGTCCTGCATGTGTCCATGTACAGATACTTTGGGAAGCTGAGTGAGTGCACCCTCTAGTTCAACCCCAAACTGTGCTAATAGGGGAGGAAGGGATAGCTCAGTGGTTTGAGCATTGGCCTGCTAAACCCAGGGTTGTGAGTTCAATTCAATTCTTGAGGGGGCCATTTAGGGATTGGGGCAAAAATCTGGGGATTGGCCCTGCTTTGAGCAGGGGGTTGGACTAGATGACCTCCTGAGGTCCCTTCCAACCCTGATATTCTATAATTCTAAGTGCTAGTGTCAAAATTTAGTTGGGAGTAATTGAACTGCTAGATTATCTACCATGGACCTACCGTCAAAGAACACTTCTTACCTCTTCACAACTACAACTCTGTGCATGTCACTTGGCACATTCACTCAGATGAATGGAATGTCACAACATACCAGACATTGGGCCAAAATGCCCAATATATCTGCTACCCCCTGCTCAAAGCAGGACCAATCTCCAGACAGATTTTTGCCCCAGATCCCTAAATGGCCCCCTCAAGAATTGAACTCACAACCCTGGGTTTAGCAGGCCAATGCACAAACCACTGAGCTATCCCTGTCCCCCACCCCAATATACAGATTATTTATTATACTCATTCCTCTCTCCAATTTATCCAGCGTGGGCTTCCCTTTTATTTTCTGATTCCCCATCATGCCACGATGCCTGGTTAGGAATGGTAAGATAGATATCAAGAAACTCCCATTCATTCTTGACCTTTTATCAGTTTTATTTCCCAGGCTCCCATTCCCTGCAGTAATCTCAATACTGTACCTCAGCTCCAACCAGAATAGACACGCACTTTTTTTTCACACTGTAAGATTGCTGGGGCAGGTGCTATTTCTTACTGCATGTTTGTACAGCACCTTACACAATATGGTTCAGATCCTGAGTGGGGCCTGTGGGTACAACCACAATACAAATACGAAAGTGTAACTGCTAATATTGCTGCTAGGCCTGGTACAGGTTGCTGCAGAGTGACCAGGCCTATCCATTACCCTTGGATATTTTTCAATGCCCATCCTCTTAAATCTGGTGACATGTCCGCAACATTTGCAGAATTGGGGCAAAAATCTCAGCAGAAGTTGCCAGCAGTTTCTTTGGCTATACATTGGCCCTTATAATTATGTACAGTAATGTTAAAAAGCAAAGACTTTGTAACCATTTCTTGGGAAATCAGTTACATCGTATGAGCTCAAGCTGCTAAGTATCCTCAACTCCCATGGGTGTCAATGGGAGATGAGTATGCACACTACCTCACAGGATGAGCTGCTTCTATACAATAACACAATAATTCCATACTGTGTTCCACACACACAAATAGCAAAATCTACTGGTTTGTCATCAATGTATGTCTGCAATTTACCATTCTTTCCATCCATTATAATCTTTGTATTTAAGAGATAGCTAGATAAAGGATGCCACACTGGAAGACCCAGAGAGGATTAAATATTACACTGTGTTATTGTTGTGTTACTCATGTTTTACTCCCTCTTCCCCATCAAAATAATGTTGGAGAAGGGAAAGAGGGCATTTAATTAATGTGGGTTAATGTCTGTGGGCCTCAGAGAAGAAGTGAGTGTTTAGGAGAACATAATGGCCGTAATGGGTTTGACCAATGGTCCATCTAGCCCAGTATCCTGTCTTCTGACAGTGGCCAATGCCAGGTGCTTCAGAGGAAATGACTAGAACAGGCAATCATCAAGTGATCCATTCCTTTTGATCTACTCCCAACTTCTGGCAAGGGCTAGGGACACCCAGAGTAGGGGGTTGCATTCCTACCCATCTTGGCTAACAGCCATTTATGGACCTTTCCTCTATGAACTCTGAAGCAGAGGCAGATAGATATTCGAGTTATTCACAAAGGGAGGCAGGAGCCAAAAAATGAAGGATGAGGGAGGAATAAAGTAGCAGAGACTTTTTTCCTCCTCCATCATTGCAGGAGGCTGAGAGAGACAGCGTTTTGGAGATCCATCTCTTCACAGGAGGTGGGAGGCTTCAGCAGAGGGATAAAGAGAAGAGCCTTGCTTTAAATTTAATTTGGCCAGCTAATAAAAAAGCTTGAATGAGAATCCAAATAATGTTTTAATATTTGTTTTAAGATAGTGAACATGTAAACCTGGAAAATATTAACTGCGGCTTTTTAGCCAGCCTGGGGGCAATGCCAGTCTGCTGACAGTGGCTTCCAGTTATGCTCACGCCTGCTTTGGAAATGATGCTTGCTCTCCGGAGAGAATGATGGTAAACACTCCCTGCTGGCCAGTATATGAGGCATACTGGTGTCTGCTTCAAAGGAAACTGCCTGGCCATTCTCCTACATGGTGGAAACTGACTTGAGGCAAGTGGTTTAGGTATGTAAAGGCAAGATTAATTAACTAGAATGAAGGGCTGGAAAGGAGCCCTAGGGTCTCAAACACTACAGTTATGGGGGCCATATAAGCACCAAGATAAATAGAATTTGGACCTGGTTCATGTTTGGGCATCAATAACAGTAAAACAGAACAGCTGAAAAAGCTTAAAACTTTACTCTGTTGCAACACAACCCATTAAATAGGGTTAGAGTATTATAAAATAGGTTGTATGCTGCAGAGCATTTGAGGAAAGAGGAATAGAATACACAAAAGGAATAGGGATTTGGATGGAAGACTGAAAGAATGGGAGAGGAGAAATGCAATGATGAATAAGAAAGAATGGGACAAAGAAGGGATATGAAAGCTTAAAGGGGCCATGACAAGTAAGTAAAGTGCAAATGAAAGAATCATGGCAACAGGAAAAGGGGTACAAAGGGGGAGAATACACCAAATGATGCAAGAAAGCAAGAGTGAACAGGACTGGGGCCCTGGCACCACAAGGAAACAAGGTCTGATGTGGGAGGGAAAGCAAGAGCTTTACGATTTGGGTACCAAAAAGGGGAGTTTGTACTGAGCAGGGTAGTAGAGAGTAGTGAGTTCAAGGTAAGAGAACAAAGAGGAAGGGAATTCTGAAGGACACAAAGGAAGTTTTGTGTAAGGGGAGTGCAGTGCGCCAGCTGCTGTCCTGGAGGTGAAATGGAAGATGGACAGAGAATAGTTCAGAAAAACCTTTCCATCATTCTCACAGACTCATGTAATTATTATCTGGCACCCAGTCTATATGACGAAAAACTATTCAAGTGTATCTCAGACTGATACATTATGTAAATGGAGGAAACAGTAAATATAAAGCCTAGGCTAACTGATTTGTTTCACACACCTGAGTATTTACAGGTCTGAGGAATGGTCAGTTGCTACCAAGTTGTTATTGTGCTTTAACATCTGCCATAGACCCATACTGGCTTTGTTCTTCTCCCTTTTCCAAAATGCAGTGTGCACAGGATTCTCTTTTCCATAGATAAGGA